ATGTGTATTGGAAAACTAGCCTAAACCCCTGGCATGCCATGATAGTTACACTTGAACATTCCCAGTTTTAACCATTTCTAGTTCAGCATTAAAGAGACCACATTCTTGTCAAATGCATTGGTTGTTTTTTATGGTCAATACATTTTATTGAATACACAATTAATCACTTGTAAATCACTCTTCACGCTTAGTGTGGTGCTCCTTACTACCCAATCACCTGCAGCTACGCAGGTCAGCAAAAAATGTTTAAAGCTCAATTACTGCTTGTTAGGAATATGTAAAAACTTTTATGTTTATAGCAGTGTTTCTTAACCTTTTGTTTTAGTAATGGCACCATTGAAAATTATGCAAAATCTTGAGGCACCCCAGTCTAAAATGTCATTAGTTTTAAGGGGGACACTACATAAAAATGCACAAATACTGGGTTCCCCCTTCACATCAAGGTTCCCCACTCACATCAAAGTTACCCTTTGCATCAGTAACCCCCCTTCACATCAGAAACCCTCCTTTCAAATCAGAGTCCCCCCTTTCACTTTAGAGTTCCTGCTTTACTTCAGGAGCCCTTTTCACATCAGTCTTCATTCCCCCTTCACTTCCCAGACACACTATCACTAAATTTTGAAGCACATCCTGAGAAGGTCAGATGGCAGTTTAAGTCCACACTAAAGTAAACCTGCCTTTTCACCTTTTACTGCTGCTCCCCTGTTGTTCTGCTCCCCACTGACTTGCCATACATATCCCAGTTATCCATATATAAGAAAGCATGTAACATACCCCATATATTCAAAGTAGGCAGTACGCATTACCCGAGTGACCAATTCCCAGGCCCCAACATAGATATGAGGCATCCAGGGGAGTACCGTAGATCGTTTAAAATATGACTGATATTTGGTTGTGATATTTCAGGGGTGGTTGGGGTGAACAAAGCAGGGAAGGAGCTATGTAATTAAAAACATCCAAAGGTGCCTAGCTTAGGTTAGGAAGGGGGGGTTGCAGTTTTTTAATGTTATGTCAAGTTTAATGTAATTACACGCTTTTTCCAGAAATTTCCAGCCAGTTAGAATAATTTCTATGGCTTGCACCAACGCATGTCTACGTAATGTACAGTATATCACTGCATATACTACTTTAGGCCAAACTATGGGGAGTAAGATCAATATGCAAATCACATAATCACATATCCCAGACTGTGCATTCAGATGGTGGACTGGAGGAAAATGTACAAGGAAAGTGCGGGTAGGTAGAAAATTACAATCCTCCACCAACTGTATAAATTCTAGCTTCACTGACTTGTGCAGACTTTTCTTTTCGTTTTAGTCGTCATGACTCAGGACTTAAACAATGATCTCCTAAAAGAGTTTATGAATATTTTCATTATATTTTTTGTATAGACAATCTAGCATTTATCATTGAACTCAAATATTATTTGGCAAAACAGTGACCAACCAAACTAATTATTACTGAGATCTTTTGTTTTATGTCCAATAATTATGAAAGCTAGTGCCTTATTTTTATCTTTTAAAAAAATATGTTGCCATTGTTGCATTCAAAAGTATTCAAGCATTGATTGCATAATGAAACTAATTTCCCATTACGCAGCTCCTTAAAATTTGCTAATAGCAGTCAAGTAATGGAAATAATTAGAACACACTGGTGGTACTATCTATTAAAGCTGTGGAAAATAATGCTTTTGGAATGTTTTGCACACATTTAATTTACCACCAAATAGTTCTGCTTCCATCAAAATTATAGCAAGATGATAAAAGACATTGCATTGACATTTCATTTGTTGCAATTAGGGCATTTTAAAGACATGCAGTATGATAGTCTTCTTTGCATTTCAAACATTAAGCTGTATAAATATGATGCACAATTGCTATGTGGGGGTCTAGCTATAAAGCAGCATCATGACTTTACACAGGCCTTAGCACTGCTTTAAAGTTGAAGTTTAGTTAATTTTCTTTATGCAGCCCTGTGGACACAACTCATCATCAATGTATCCCAAGTCCTGGTAGTTGCTGCTTATGATACAAATTACCCCATGGCTACCCCTTACAGCACTGATGTTCTAGTGCTGTGGGTATTAACAGCAGTCAAGGCCAGTGTAGAAGAGTGTGTAAATGCCACTTGCACACCCCTTCCTCCTTTCTTCTCCATTCATACAAGTTGTACTCTTACTTACTACAATGCAAAGTGACCTGTCATTGCAGGAGACAAAACCTGTCATTCATCTGCCCATCTTCCAATCTCAGGTCACTGTGCTTTGTGGGAAATGCATTGAGACTTGTAGTTCTCAGTGGAGTACAAATGTGGTGATGTTACTACACTTGTAGTATATTGATAACTTTCTCCAGCTGCATAACTGGAACAGTCTTGAGGAACAGTCTGTAGGTGCCTGTGCAATAAACCCGTAATTAGTGGATGCTTTTGCATTACTTCTAAGTCTTTTAGAACTAATTTCAATGCAAAAATAAATAAATGCATATGTATTTGAGAGCATTTATTCTTTTTTTGGCAAAAAGTGGAATATGCCTTTAAGCTCTATGGGAGTCTTGGTTTGTTGGATACTTTGTGCACCTGTGGTGAACACAGGTGTTAAGACAATGCTATAATGTTATGAAAATATTGGGATACTCACAGTCTGTTGCTGGCACTGATTTAGGTTCAATTTTAATTGGTTTATTAAAGAGGTTATTTACTTTGTATGCCGTTTTAATCAAATGAAGCTGAGGTCTTGCTCCTTCAACAAAAGTGTGTCCTGTCTATTATTTGTGAGGGCAGAGTTCACAAGATTTGTTATAGGTGATATAGCTGGATTTGAACTTAAGATTCTCAGCAGAGATACAATTCATGTCTAAGCAAATATCTACAAAAACTATACTTTAGCCCTAATAACAGTTCTCATAAACTGATGTCACCAGGCATTTTCAGGAAATGCAGAAGTTGGCAGTGATTTCATGAACCTGAACAAGAGCTACTCCTTTTACACAAGTGATCTACCTTGGCTTTACAATGCTTCCCACAGCGGGCACTAAGCTCCTTTACAGCCCTCACAATCCAAATTCTATCAATTCTATTTGGTCTTTGGGGGAAGGTGGTACCTATAGGGCTTGGGCAATTGCTCATTTGATCTTTTTATTCAAGCAGTAGCTTATATTTGCTCGCAATTTTCATTAGACTCATTATGTAGCAAAATATTATCACAGAAACCTTTGAAAGTGGTTGCCAGTCTCTCATTCCTGGGTTTCACTCTAGAGCCCTAGACATTAATCTCTATACTCTGAGTAAGGTATTTACCAGTATCTATGTTCTCAGTGTTCAGTGGACTCTGTCATCAGGTAAAATACATTCTAAATGTTTCTAACAGAAACTGCCAGTTTATGACTTCTAGGCTTTTCTCTTGTCTTGTAAAGTGAGGTCCCGTATGGTACATAGGTTCTATTTGGAATAATTTAAGGTATCAGAGATAAGGAATGGGCAGCACAGTGGCGTAGTGGTTAGCGATTCTGCCTTGCAACACTGAGGGTGCCCGGTTCAAATCCTAGCAAGGTCACAACCATGTTCTCCCTGTGCTTGCGCGGGTTTCCTCCGGGTACTCCGGTTTCCTCCCACACTCCAAAGACATGCTGGTAGGTTAATTGGCTCCTCTCTAAGTTGGTCCTCTATGTATGCATGTGAGATAGGGACCTTAGATTGTAAGCTCCTTGATGGTAGGGGGTGTGATGTGAATGTGCAAGTATGTAAAGTGCTGCGTAAATTGTCGCGCTATATAAATACCAGTAATAAATAAATAAAAAATAAGGAATGGCTTGTTTTTTAAGCTTCTGACATGAGCTTTTTTTATGACAGTTTCCCTTTTAACTCATTCTAGTGCCTGTTCTACTCTGATTCCCTGATTATAAAGGCATTCATAATGCTGTGGAAATCTGTATGGTTTGAAGCTGCTTTAGTGTTTTGTATGCCTCAGTTATCAGCCAACAAGGTTACAATTCTGATTATTTAGTAGACAAATAACAATAAAGTTGTGAATGTAAATAGACACCGTCTGTTACAACAGAGCAGGCCAAAGAGCAAATGTTATGTCTTGCCCTTATCCAATATAATAAAACAACACACAATTCTCACAAGAAACTAGGGATGTTCAGATGCCATGTACTGTACACTGGTACCAAGTACCAGTACAGATACTTTTCCAGCTCCAAGGCTAGACTAGAGCAAAACTAAAAAGTTAGGAGGCAGCTGTCATTTTTAGGGAGCATACAGTGCTCCTGGGATTTGTGCATCCCTGTTTTAATGTATGATTTTTTTTATAAACATATATAAGGGCTGCACTTATACCATTTTTTCAAGTACAAGTACCGATACTTGTCCAAGTACTCACCGATACAAGTACTGATACATTTTTGTTTATTGTCAGTTTACAGTTTTTCTAAAACAATACGGACTAATGATTTCAGGACAGTGGTGGAGCACCAGAGCCAGGTCCCAGCTGCAACCCTGGTAGTTCTCGTGAAAATGCCAGGTATCGTCACTGGTATCTGAACCTCCCTACAAAAAAACCTAATTATTTATATAACATTGTGATATTTTAAAGCTACGGAATCATTATTTTACAGCCATTGGCTACTCAATAAGTATGGATGCTAGGTACGATCATGTATGTCAAGACTTTAGGCAGTACAATAACAATAAGAATAGAATTTCACTTTTTTGTTTCCTCATCATATCACATTTAATTTTTTAAAATTAAGTCTATGATTTACTTTTCACTAATATCCTGAAAATCAGCTCTGAGAAGTCAGAGTATGTTTTCCCTTGTAACCCACAAAAATAAATAACTCTTTCGAAATTTCTGCTTTACTGGCAGATATTTGATGGCTTTAAAACCTATTCAAACAACCAATAGATGTTGACTTCAAAGAAGGTAGCATCTACTGCCAGACATAATTTGCTAAAGTGGTAAAACTGTATTTTATAGCAATGATATGAGAGAAACTTACCATCAATCCACTCATGAGAAACTGGATCAAAACTGCCATATAGCTGTCCTATTGTGATAGCTTTTGGATTAATAAATATATAGTCCACTCTATGTTCATCCATAAGGCCTTTTATTTCTAAATCTTTCAGAACTCCTGCAAGGACCTTAAGTGAAGATGTTTTTCCCCCAAGCGGATTTCCAATCAGCATGAATCCATGTCGCACTAGCATCATTTCATATATCTGAAAAAGTAAATTTTTTGTTATTCCCTTTAACATCCTGTTCATACAATCAACTTTGGACCAGTTCAACATTTATATCCAACTACCATGCAAATAATAGGAGTGCACACAATCTAAAGATAAAGCTAAAAGCAATCAATCAGCTTTTAGCATTTTTTAGTGTAAAGCTGGAAAATGAAAGGTCACACTTTAATGTTTGCTACAGTTAACAGTTGTTTTTTTTCTTTTTATTTGAGCTCTTATCAGGGCCAGATCTAAAATTAGGCATGGTAGGCACATGCCTGGGGTGTCAATGTGTGAAGGGGCACCCTTACAACAATAAAGCAGGCTCTGTGCATAGCACTTTTTTTCTTTTGCAAAATTCACCAAGAATTTAGGCTTCCTGTGCCTTATGCATCCATTCTCCATACTAGATTGGTCCTTGTAGTTGATCATGAGATATGGGGGTAGCCCCCCAGTGGCAACACTGAAGAGGAAAAAGCCGAAGCCCATGTAAAAAATTTAGAAGACCAAGAGTAAGGCAGCACCTCTGAGAGGGTGGGTGCAGGGACTGGTTTTGGCTTATGATATAATGTTGGCTATACAGTATGTGCAGCTGGTACTCCTGGCTGGGGGTATATATAAATGGATAAGGTGGTTGTATAATGATCAGGGATATACTTCTGCCTAAGGATCATACACTGAGTGGCCAGATTATTATGACCACCTGACGTTTGTAGGCAAATTAGCTATAATTAGCTATAATTTCGCGCTGAAGTTGCTAGAGGGCCAGACCATTATACATAAGGAAGCAGGTTGTTTACCACGACAGTAGACTTGATTTTTTTCTGAAGATATGGGTAAACAACGCAATTTAACAGCCTTTGAACGTGGGATGATTGTTGGCGCTCAAGCCATGGAGCGAGTATCAGCAAAACAGCAGAATTCGTTAAATGTTCAAGAGCAGCTGTTGTTAAAGTGTTTGAAGACTGGACTGTCAGACGAAAATCTGGGTCTGAACGTGCGAATTGTGGCCGTCAGCCACTAGTTAATGTTAGGGCAGAGCGGAGAGTGGCAAGACTGGTACAAGACAACAGAAGGGCAATAGTGCAGTGTCCTCGCATCACCTTTCAACATCTCGTGGAGTCACGAGGCGGCCCAACAAAGTCATCTCGTGGAGTCATCTCGTGGCCCAACGAAATAATGATGGGGTGGTCATAATAATCTGGCCACTCAGTGTATATTTGTGGTGGGAGGGATGTACTGCTGAATGGAGATATTATATTGCATGTGATATTCTTGTTTAATGCTTCCTATATGCAATATTCCCTAAAGTAACAACTTTATTTGGTCACACTCGCAATTTGCTACAGCACACATCATCTTCTAGGTTCCATACAATGTCTCTGTTAAAAGGCCATTTGCTATAAAACCTGTGTGGATTGCTCTGGGGTAAAGAGAGTTTATATTTATGTGGCTTTTGAGTTATTTTGCAACACATTGCATCACCTTGATAGTATAATATACTGGAATGTGGCATCTCAGTAAATTGGTATATGACAATACGACCGTTGCATAATATGGTAGATTAGAAACATGGCACCTCTGTGACATGGCCAATATCCTGTTATTGCACTTCATGTAATGTTGCTTCTCTAGTAACACTGCATTGATTCTAGCTTTCATAATATTGATCATTCTAATTTCTCCTGCATTTAGGTCACTTAACAGGAGTGAAGTTTAAATTGACGTTAATGGGTGAAACTTATGAAGGGTCTGTGCGTCAAGGCTTCTGAGCAGTAAATCTTGCCCTCGTTGTTATATCTTCACTCTAGTGAAATTTTATCTGTGGACCATGGTTTTAGAGAGTACTTGTTTTCACATCAACAATTATCTAAGATAAAAATGTTATTTTGCCATATTAACACTTTGAAGTACATGCATCATGATAACTGCCAATCTGAAGCACAAGTGCTAAGAAAGATATTATCAAGAATTCTTTAAAGCTGCTATGCTAAGCAAACACTAGTCCAGCTTTACACTTTGTATATTCAGACCAAATAACTGTAATGTTGGTGGAGAGGACCCTGTAACTGGCTGTAAAATGAAATCAGTTGCATGGCTTTGTAAAAATATGAGACTTCAAGATGAGGACAAATTATAGAAAAAAAAACACCCATATATGAGAAAGCCAATTTGAATTAGCAATACACACTGTCTATGTTAGGTAGATGCTACTTTGATGAAATGATGCATCTTGCACGCTTACTTTATCCATTGCAAACACTGCCCCTCTTACTGAAACATAAGGATATTAAATTATTAGAATCAGTTTAATTTAAATGTATATGCCAGGGAAGCAAACTACATATAGCTTTTTGTACGCATCAACGGCCGTTTTAGAAGCCGATTTGCCTAACCTAAGATTATACAATCTGGCTAGCCTATGGTGATATGTATGCAATTGGCTAAAAATTACTTCTTATTACACCAACTATGATTTGGAGTCACAGTTGGTGGTACCATGGTCACTTGAAGGTATACTACACACCTATATCTATAATATCTCCTTTGTTAAAACAAAATCTTCTTTTGAGAGATACATTGATAGCATGGCAATAAGTACAGAAGCTTCATAAAACTCAAGGGGGGTGATTTACTAACCTAAACACACGCACGCACTAGGTGCGTGTGATTTTTACACAGCAAAACGTATTTATCAACCAAAAAGTCTCTAAAAGCATATTTCCACTAATGCCATATATGGAAAAATCATGCACATGATGCATATATAATGCTGCTACATTCCTGCATTCATCAACGCAAGCAACACAATGTAGAGCTAATTTACACAACATCACCTTGCAATTCATGCAGGGCTTTGGACAACACACCTGCCGGGTGTGTACACACTACAAAGGTGTCTAGATTCCACCAATAGATCATGCTGGGAGGGAACACACTACAGAGGTGTATACTTGTTCATGGCGTGGTTATAAGGTTAGTAAATCAACCCCCAGGAGTAATTTCACCATTGCCTCTGTGCTCCTCCCCAGTGTTTCCACAGGGATGTGAATCTTCTATTTTTAGAATATGGGCGGTCGAGAGGTATTCAAGAATTGGGTCACCTATTAGACGATCAGGGCCATTTGCTGATTTATGTACTACATATAGGATTTCCAATGATCACTTCCTTCAATAGGAATCTTTCATACAGGATAGGCTTGACACTTGTCAGATGAATCAACATCATGCAGTTATGTTGGCTATTCTTGGTTATCCTGTCTATAAATATTCTTTATCACAAATATAGCAGGCATCAAGGAGTGCGGGTAAGAGGAATTTCTCTTTGACCGCCTCGCCTGTATGAAAATGGGCAGATTTATTGGGCCTATCAGTGGTAGATACATTTAAGATTTTCTTTAGAGGATGGGAGGCAGTTCAAAAAGCAGCAAAATATGTGTGAACAGTGAGAATGAACAGATAATAGGAAACTCATATATGGAAAGGTATCTGATGTTACATAATGTATTGTTCCTATAAGCCGTAGCCAAAGCTAGGTATTTTAATTTGCAACAATAAAAGATTTGTTTAATATCTTTAATATTTATGTGATCTCAATCACACCCTGTTTATGTCATATGTTTATGTCATATGTTTATGTCATATGTTTTGGGTTCCTTATTAATTAAAAAAAATATTATTACTTAAAGTGTTATATTTATACTTAATTAATTAATGACATAATGGCAGGTAGATCTTTCTACCATAAAGACAAAATACCAATACTTGCTTAAGGTAGTAATATTAATCTGGAAAATCCTGTGCTTAGCTTCTCTAGACAATGTGTATAAAAGCAGCCACCATAATATTCTCTAAACTGGCACAATGGGATCAGATGTGTTGCTAGAGTCCACTGGACACACTACCGAAGTGGAAAAGTCATGGTAAACTCCTCATACAACAATTGGTTCAGTTCATTGTTTTCTTCCCCTTTCTTTTCTCTCTCAGTCTTCTGCCCCAGTATTTTGTATAATGCTTTTCTTTAGGAGCATTACTATGTATAATCTAAGATCAAATCTTCATGTGTTATTTTGCTACAAATGTTAGACATGAAGCCCACAGGAATTCCTGCCTAACATGACAGAGACTGTCAAAATGTTCCTCCGCTGTACTACACTAGACATGAGTAATTAACAGGCAACGGGTCGCAGATTTGAGACCCAGGATACATAGCTGTGTCTTTTGCCAGGACTTACTGTGAATAAGTCCTTAGGCTCTAAAATAACAAATTGTAAAGCATAATGGAAGGATTCTTTAACCATTGCTATGGATGATCATTACTTAACTACCTTTTGTATTTATTTTAACATTTGCAAACAGCAATATCTGCTGCAATACATGAGAAATTAGACCACCTATTGTCAGCCTGTGTGTGTGTGGTAGTAAGAAATATGTACATTTTCAGAGCCTATTTTTCATCATTCACTATGGAAAGAGAAGAGCCTTTTATATCTAAGGGCATCTGGAGAGTATGGTTACAAAGCAGAGTAATAGCAATGTTCCACATATGGTCTTTATTTACAGCTTTCTTAAGGCATATTATGCAGAGAAATACTGCTGCTGTTTAATACATATATTATTTATGATTTGAATGCCTTGTGTACATTAACACTTTATGTATGCAAACTAAAATGATGGTTACATTTTATTTAACAGTTCCAGGCATCTGGAACAATTATAAATACAGTAGATATAAAGTAGTATTGTATTTGTATTTGTATTGTGTTCCTGTTTTGTTTAGTAGCTGCCCTTTAAATAAATAAGTCAAAATGAGGATGCTGTTTAAGACCCCCGTCAGACCTTGTGGGCCATTTGCGGGTGTATGCCATTATGGCAGTGCAGTCATTTAGAATTGGCTGCCAATGCATAGTAATACAGTTTCTTTATCACAGCGTACAGTAGACATGTGCGATGTGTTTCTTTCTGAATAAAAATTCTGACAAATTTTTAGAGATTCGGACACATCCGCATTTCCAAATCCCAATGCATTCGAATGTGTCTGAATCCGAATTTCCATTTCGGCATTTCAGATCCCATCCGAATTTCGTTCAAAGATGAAACTGAATTGGACAGGTTCTGAACACGAATTTTCATTACGGCAACATGGGAGCCATATACAGTATACAGTATATACATATAATACTAAAACTGAGGCTCCTAGACCCGAATGGCATTCGGGTCAGGGAGCCATATACATACAGTATATTACTAAAGATGAGGCTTCCAGACCTGAATGGCATTCGGGAGCTCCTGACTGCAATTCGGAAATTTGGATCCCGAATGCCATTCGGGTCTAGGAGGTTCAGCTTAGGTATTAATATCTGTAGATGGTTTTCTATGGTATTCACAATGAATATTCGCAAACTCAATTTTTCTGCAGCTTACATGTCTAGCGTACACTTTCTCTAACACAGCGTACCACAATGCATGGCATGTGTGGTACTTTGCAATGAGGTGACTGTAGTTGTACATTGGGCTGCAATTCTAAATGAGTGGCACCAAAAAGCACTACACAAAGTGCCTCGTGTTACGGTAATGCACAGTAAAATATGTGTTATAAACCTGAAATTGTAAAAAAAAAAACAGTTATTGCATATATTTCCTTACAATAAGAGTACAGCTGCTATGCAATGGCACTACCTGTCATTTTTATGAATTTCTGTGACCATCCCCAACACTTCTTAATTTTGACCGCAGGTGATCATGCAGGAGCAGAGCCTGTTACCTGGCTATGATGCACTAAGAAACATTTTGGTCATACAGATACTACAATGGGGCAATTCAAGAAATACAATTAAGGGAACACTGATGCACCTAAACATTTGCATACAACTGACTAATCTGCAGAGAAGCACACAGTTCTGGGAATCTATACATTTATAATTTGCAAAATGTATGTTTTTTTGCATATTAGGTTATCTGTAGGTATTCAGGTGCATAACAACCAAAACATGATTTGCCAATTCACCTGATTTTCGTGCATCCTTTTCGTGGGGAACTGTCAGCATAAGCAACAGTTTTTCTATCATGGAGTGTCTTGTGGACATGAACAGATCTGAAGCTCTTAACATAATGTAATAAAGGTGCGCATGTGTTGCATTTGGTAATTGACGAAACTCAATATACTCAATGTAATTTTGTGAAAACAAAATGCTTTTAGATGTGAATGAGAGAAACATTTGCTGACTTGTATTATCTTCTTGATGAAGCATGGGACCTGCTGCAGATTCATTTTCCTAGTGATTTCCCTGATGGACACTTCCAGACTGCCATGGTCAGGAGTTGGCACAATAACCCCAGGGAAAAGGTCAGAAATGATGCTATCAAAAAGCGGAATGTCGTGGGACAAAAACTGCAAATTGAAAATAATGAGAAAAAAAGAAAAAGATTAGAAACGCTGAACACTCAAAGTAAAAAGTAAATATCTATGCCCTCTATGTCACGATGTAAATATTTTATTGTAATGACTTCCAAATTGATACATACAGTATATAACTTGAATGTAAATTGAAACATTTAAAAGAAGATCTGAATTGAGCTTCTTTTTAAGGATGTTTATAAATGGATCTTTTATGGATTTTGTTAGTTATTATTTGTAGAGAAAAATTACATTTTACATCAAAACATTTAGCACAGAATGCTCCTATTATAGTGCTGTGTTATAAGAAAGCCCAACAGTTTCTGCTTACTTTCAAATGACAGGTGTAGATGGGGGCATTAGTTCACAAATGTATATGAATTTGTAGTGCAGAGTAGAATCTATTAAATGAAGTACAGTGACTACGGTTTGACAGCTCTCATACATGGCGGAGAAGCTGGGAGGAGCTTTGGGGGAAAACTGGGGATTGTTAAAAGAGATACAGCAACACATTAATATTGAGAATACATGATACATTTATTTTCTCATTATAAGTAGAAGAGACAGAAGAAGTTATGGTGGTTCTAGGGGCCTCCTTTATCAGGACTCAATGTGCTGGTTGACAAAACAAAAGTGTTGGACTGAAAAGGGTTAAATACATTTGAAAAGGTGCAGATAGATATTCTAAAGCAGACTTTTGCAGTTGGATGAACCTGCATAGAGAATAGTTGCCATCATGATTGCCATCATGGTTCCCAAAAGGCCAATGGGAGCAAAAGTAAAGCTCTGTATAAGCTCAGCTGTCATTTGCTATGCGAACAGCTGACCTATGGCAGGCCGTTCTCCTCGATCCGGCTGTCACTTCGGCTCAGTCGAGCCAAAGCATATGCCTTCGGCTTGGCTGAGCTGCTCGCCTGCCTTCGGATGCTGTATGGGCTATTTTGAATAGACTGTACAGCAGCCCTTTGGTTTGACTGAACCGAAGGTCTCTTGTGGCTGAAGACAGCCGAAGGATCAGCCGAAGCTGTGGCTGGATCCTTCAGCTCTTTAGTGAATAACCCCCTTAGCTTGGCAAGTGAACTATTGCAGTGGGGTGGCAGCATGGGACTAGCAATGAAAAGACTACCAAAAGAAAATGTGGGAAAAAGGAATGTGTCTCTTTAAGCCTGATCTAAATAGGTAATCTGCATACAAAATAAACTCAAGACAAATCAACTAATCTTGTACATGTCAGAAAGGAAGGAGAGCCATTGTCTGGTGAAATATATGCAGATGAATCCAGTACTCTTTGCTGCGGTGACATTTTAAAAGACACGCGGGGTCATAAACATTGCAATTAAGCTATAGTATGCAGTTTATCTTCTCTTCTGCCTTGTAATTGTCAATCGATATGAAATGGCGCGGGAGAAGAGCAAAACTACAGAAGCTCATGTTTGCTGTCATGCATTTCCCTCTCACAAGTACACATTAAGGAAGCAGTGGCTGTAGCTAGACCCTACCTTAGGCAGATTAACGTCACGTATTGATCGAAGCATCAGCACATCCTCCTTTTCATCTGGCAATTTAACCTTCAGGTTTCCAGCAGCTGTTAGCACAGATTTAACTGCCCTCATTCCATAGTCATAGTGATGCTGGGAAGAGAGCTAAAGACAGATTGGGTTAGTTATTACAGTATTAATGATATGAATAGTATCCTTAGTCCAACTGCAAACCTCCTGTGGCTTTCAAGATACATTTAAATAATCTCCCAATATACCCTAGAGAGAGTTGGTATATAACTATGTCCATCAATGGTACATACTGTATGATCCAGTTTTATGACATTATAGTGAAAATCAGTTTTATTAAATCTTATAGCTACTTCACCTGCATTTATTTTAAACGTCAACAATTTTAGTGGTAGAGGCACATTCATGCACTGCTATTATATTACAATGTATAAAAACACTAACATTCAACATAGACAAACAGTAAAAGTTCATAAAAGCTACATTGTTATTTGATAAACCTAAAGCAGGATTTAAATACAGGATAATTATTTTAAACAGCAGAATTTAAATATGTCTCCATCTATAAACATGTTTCATTAAAATTATTATTTCTTATGTTTGATCATTACATAAAATAAATATAGGAAATGCATCATTTTTTTATGATAAACTAGAAAAGAATTAAAGTTGAAAAAAGATCAGTGCTGAGTATTTGGGTGGTAAGCATTGCATCAATTACACAGTGACAAGAAGCAGAATGAAGGAAGCTATGAATAATGGAATCACAAGGCACAAAGCGGATGGGATGTCAAGTCTTTGTGCAGAAGGTCATGTATTCCCCCTAAAGGGTAATGGTTTTCTATCAGACAATAGCCCTATATCCATCTTATCACATTCCTCTGAAAAGTGCCTGGGCACAAAGTGGTAAGATAAAATGTTAGGTTGAAACAATACTAATATGTATAAATGGGGGGTGAGCCGGATGAGAAAACCTCAGGCAGAAAGTAATCGTATCTGAAAATCTGGGACTTGTTTGAGTAAGCACAAGGATGGGGGGAGGCTTCTTAATAACCAGTCATAAAAGTAGCTAAATGAATAAAGACATTTGTGACATGGTTTAATTGTTTGGGGGATGAAAATGTATTAAACTATCAAAACATTGTGAGGATAAAATTAGATTCATTAATCAAAGCAAAGCTGAGAGCTGACTGTGAAGACATGATGTAAATACATTTTCAGTTCTTTTAAACTCTGTCTAACTGAACACTATCATTTATAATATGTTGTCATTTTTTAATATTGCAATATATGGGGCTAATCATCACTGCTCTAAAAAGAACACAGGTAACAAAAAAAATAGAAGGTAAAGGCATATCTAGAAAGGAGTGCAGAAAAGGAACTCAGCAGCAGTATTTTTTGGTATGTTGTGTGATAAGGAACTCACAACAAATTTGACTGCAAAATGGAAATGGAAATACACTATAAAGTGTATGTCAAGCCAAAATCTTTTTTTCTGTTGTTGGATAACATGGGTAAGCATTGGAACTCCTGTCAGGTTTTTACTTTTTACTGCTGTTCTCATATTTTATACTACTAACAACAATTTCACCAGACAGGGTAACAGAAAGACCCGGGTTATAGCTTTCTCCTAAAGAACCAAGAAAAGCATTTATATTTCCATCAATCCAACAGGAAATGAGGGATAAGCAATATTTGGGAGTGAGCTTGGAGAAGTAGCTACTTTACAACACACACAGGGACCATGGGGAACAAAAGTAGCCACCCTCCAGGAGGAAGGACAGTGTCAGCACAAGATAATTTGAGGATCTACAGCTGAGTGAAACACTTTTGTTAAAGGTACTTGAATATTTATTTTAACCCCTTCGTGACGGGAGACGTACACTGTACGTTCCACCACAAAGGGACCAAATTACTTGTCACGTACACTGTACGTGTCGAATTATTTGCTGCACTAGAAAGCTGGTAACCGCTGAGAATCAGCGGTTATCATTCATTAATGGATGCCTCAGTACAGAGGCATCCATTAATGAAAGGGATAACCTTTTTCAGACACCCAATACCTGAAGATCGGGTGTCTGAGAGTCAAAGCAGAGCCGGCATGTTTGCCGGCATTCTGACAGCTCGTATAGATCGAGTGATATCTCTCTCAAGCTATACTGGCTTTTTTTTTTCTTTCACTTTCAGGAATAGATACATAATGTATCTATTCCTGAAAGAAGAATGTTTCAGTTTTCTGATGGTTGTTGTAACAATCAGAAAACTAGTGACAGCTGAATCCTGAACTGCTGCAGGATCAGTATCACCAACTTATTATCGGCTGTTCTGAAGTTTGAAACAGCCTGATAATAACCAAAAATTTATTAATTTATCAAGCAGTAATAGTGAGATTAATTCACAATGACTGCTTGATATAATTAAATAAATAAAATAACATTTTTAAGTTTAAAAAAATAGTGAAAAGTGTAGAAAAAAAAACTGTGGAAAGTGTAAAAAAATTAAAAATAAGGGACAAATAAATGAATGTATGTATTGCATTTTTTTTTAGCTGTGCTGGTTTTGTTAAAAAAAAATACTACAAATCAAAACTGGGAAAAAAAGTTTTTTTTTACGTTTTTTCCTCTTTTTTTTATTTGTATTTGTCCTAAGTGAGGCGTTAGACACACATATGTGATATAAATATGTAGCCCTATCTGTCCTCTAAAAAACAATATATAATATGTGTGGGTGCACTTTGTAAGAAAGTATATTACTGACGTGGAAGAATCACACAGCAAAAATGTCAAAAGTGTGTCAGTCATTTACGAACAGAAACTAAAAACAAGCTCAGTCATGAATGGGGTTAAGATTTATCTCCTGACTTTACTTCCACTTTAAGGGAAGGTCTAGTCGAACATTTCATTGCAAAGTGAGGCCTACTAACTACAAAATGTGCAAACCATAGGAAAATTGGATTTACTCTCTCTGCTGCCCCAAGGCCAGGTTCCTCAACGCGCCCCCCTACCTGCCAAGCCCCCCCACCATGGAGAATGGGAGACCTGCAGGCTGCATACAATGTCGCCAAGATCACTTGTACAAAACAAGTGGTGGCTTCCCTGCTGTCCCTGCTACCAGGGAGTAGAGGGGCAGCGGGGCTAAATGTAGAAAACTACCCGCCCGGGCATCTGGAAATATCAGTTCCACACCCCTGCTGCCCCCTCTACTCCCTGCTGCCCCAAGGCCAGGCCTTAGTTGGCCTTGTGGGAAATCCGGCCCTGACTGTGCCCTAATATAGCAGCACTCAAAAAAGAAAAAAAAATCATTTTATGGTTTAAAAAATATTCTTAGGCATGCACCTCATTTACCTTTTCACCTATATAGGTGACATACATGTTTTTGTGTGAGTGCATGCATGTGTGCTTATCTGCAGGATACTATGAAAGAAAAAAATAATATTTCTCTAGGGTTTTTAACCTTGATAACCATAACTGACAATTCATATATACCATAAATCCAAACTATCCTGTCTGTGGGTGAGCTAAACAAATGATTGTGTTTTCCTCTTGTTTTGTGTTCCATATTTATTATTTGTTATTCAATAATAAAAAAACAAAAGAGTCTTACCTGTTCAGAGCATAATCGATATGTAGCCACAATTTTAGCAGCAAGGCTGCGTGCTGCAACAAAACCCATGGAATACAGAGAAATCTCAGCAATTAATGTATAATCTGGCACCATCATAGCAACAGTCCGAAACAGAACCTATAATATAAGATACCATAATATTTCTATATTTAGCTGCACAATGATACTCTATTTTCTGATCATCCATATTTGCAATGTGCAGTAAACATTTTTGTATTGCAACATTAAATATGACACCATCTATAAATAAACTCTTTTTGTTTCATCATTTTCACAAATCAACAAAGACTTTCTGCTGTTCAAATTTTAGAGGGGTGATAGCTTGGTGGTTTTGTGATATTTTTTTATGATTGACAGTCCCAGGGTTACAATAACAGTCACTGCATGGGTGCTAGGAAATAGGGATGAAGAGTTTTAGATGTATACATTCTTTCCAGTAGATGGTTTCTAGATTTATTCACTGTGTCAGAATGAAAATCTATAAAATAAAGAGGGACTGTGTTGTTTTAGCTGTTTTAAAAGACTAATAAAGAAATGTTTTAGGTCTATGAGACAAACTCAGAAGGTACAGTACAATTTGTGCTTTATGATGATATGTTTATAAACATATTACCCTTATATCTATATTTGTATACAATACAAATGGGCATGCTGTAAATGTAAAGTCTTTTTACACATCTTACACTAGTCTTATATCCACTGATCTCACAGCTTGCATTGATGAGCTTGTCAGGGTGACATACCACCCACATGTTGTCATTTCTTAACTAATGACAATAATCTCTCTACCACAGGCAGGGGGTGGATATGTCTTCTGGGAGATCTTTAATATGACAAGTAGCATTTTTGTTAACTTCTGTTCAGATACCAGGAAATATTACACTAGGACACACAAGGCTTCAGAATTGTAAAAAAAAAGTATTAGTGACCTATTTAAGACCCAACAATGATAGTGTGTATGTATTTATCCCAAAGGTTTAGTGTATGTTAGTTGTAACTGTGCGAGTTAACTATAATAAAAAGATTGCTTTCAAAATGTGACATTAAGCCAACCTTTCTCGACTAGGGTTTTCCCAGTAGGTGCTTGTGGTTCCTTGAGCAGTAAGCAATGGTGGATTAATCTCCTGCCTACACTGATCACTAATTCAAGGGGGCATTTTTCCACTGACATCTAATGTTAGGGGTCTCTTACATCCACCAATCACTACATTAAACTGAACACTAGTGTAAGGGAAGACAGCAACTGTTTGAACCATTATTTGTTTGCTTTCATGATTACTGAAAATAATTTTATTGCATAGACCAGGGGGAGGTTGAAAAATTATCCACCATGGGTGTCAGTTACTTTAGAAAATGCAATTTTTTACTTATTTTATTTAAAAATTTCAATCATGGTAATGTACCAATAGCTGTAGATATAATCAATTTCTGTAGTAGCATTTCACTATCTGTATATGACAGAGTTTTAAAACATGATGTTCTGGAGTGCCATTTTAAAACAGCAGTCTGTTAACATCCGGTGTGCATGCCCAGTGAACACACAATTCCTTTGATCATACTATCATTAGACATTGCAGATCATGGCCAAAATGCACAGAACCAGAGTGCTTTGGTGCATTGCATCACTGTGAAGACTACAAATGTAAACAATATTACTGTCTCACAACGGAGGAAAGAAGAAATAAATAGATAAAGGTATACTAGAAAGGTAGACTCAAGGTGGGGAGAGGGATTACTAAATGTTATCGTATGATAATTTTTTAACCTTTTCACTCCCCCATATATGTCATCTTCATCCTGTCTCTGTACTTCCTGTATATTAACACCTTCACCTCTTATCCTGCAAATGAATCCCCTCATCTCCATCCTATCACTTTATGTGACCTGTACGTTAACTTCTTCACCCCTACTCCCTTTGTGTATGACCTGTACATTAATAATGCACTGTATCTAGTGCACCATTAACAAGATCCAGGTTTTAATCCCTTAATACAGCATGTTTCTTCATTTCCCAAAAACAATTGTGGCAAAAAATTAGATTGCCTTTGGTCTACTTCCCAAAGAGGGGGTAATTTTGAGGGTGTTTGTACTGTCCCCGCATTTTTATATAAGTTTTATAAAAGAAACTAAGGCAGTTTTTTTTTCTAAATTGTTGGTATTTTATTTCTTTGAAATAAAAAAAAAAACTGGTGGTTATTAAATAACACAAAAATGTATAAAATTCATTTGGGTACAGTGTTGTATGACAAATTATCATTTAGAGTATCACAGCACTGAAAACTGAAAAATGGGCAAGGGCAATAGTAATGAAGGAGAATATGCAGGCTGGTTCACGTATGCTTTTATATTAATCATATTATGCTGAATAAAACAATAGTCTAGTTTTCATATTTTGATATTTTACACTTAGTATTTCTGGCCTGTATGTGAAATGGCATTATTTAAGGTAGGTTTCCCTTTAAACAGTTCCAGTTACAAAAAAAAAATGCTCAATGCATACAAGTTGCCCTGCCTTTCACAAAACAAATGCAATTTGTATGGTGACCAGAGAAAAATTAAGAAACATATTGTTTTGTTTTGCATTGAAAGCTAAGTACTGATACAGATAAATGTCTGTGATGTACTAAACAACGATACATTTTTCCGTAACAAAATGTACTAAATATTAAACCAATAAATACATTATGCCATCCTTAAAGTGTATTTCCAATACAATATGCCATCCTTAAAGTGTATTTCCACTTTTTCGGTCGAATTTGAGAAACCCCCCCCCCTACATGTTTGTTATGTGTTCCTATTCACACAGCATAATGAAAAATAATTGTTGAAAATATCTTACCTTTTAGATGTTTTGTTGCAACAGGCAAAATGGTTGAATTCAGGATTGTGAGGACTTTCACAGTCCTTATAGAAAGACTTAGGACTGAAATTTAAGGATTATGTTTCTCTCATTAACTTCATTAACATACAATGCAGAAGCCAGGTATTTTACCCTTCGTTAGGACAGGCAGTGTTCATATCTACTTTACAAATTATAATGAACAAACCCAGGGCCGTACCTAGATTAACCCCTTCATGACTGAGCTAGTTTCTAGTTTCTGTTCCTAAATGACTGACACACTTTTTACATTTTTGCTGTGTGATTCTTCCACAGCAGCAAGTTTTGATTATTATTTTTATTTTTAGAATTTTTTTAATAATAATTATAGTATACAAATATATTTATATATAAACGTTTTATTTTCCTAATTTTTTGTACATTTTTTTTTTTTTTTACACTTTGTAAAAAAAAATAAAAAATTTTTTTGTCAGTTTATATCAAGCAATCACTATGACTGCTTAATAAATTAACTTTTTAAAATTTTTAGTTATTATCAGGCTGCTCCAAGCTTAGGAACAGCTAATAATAACTTTAGAGACTGATCCTGACAGCATGTCAGAATCAGATCTCACTAAAGGTCTTTGATCGTTCCTAGACGATCAAAACTGATACATTTCACTCAAGAGATACATTTTGTATCTAGTGGTTGAAATGTATCATTTAACATCGGGCAAGGCTCTGCAGCTGTCAAAACAAGTAGCAGAGAGGTGAGTCACTGCTACCTCTCTGCTATCTTCAGCGGTCAGATACGGGATCGCTATTTAGCGAACCCGTATCTGAATGTAAAGGCTTCATTCTTTCATTAATGAAAGAAAGAAGCTTTTAAAAAAGCTTAACTATTTCATTAATGAATGTCTCAATAGTGAGGCATTAATTAATGACTGGAACTGCTGAGAATCAGCAGTTACCAGCATTACAGAGGCTAATATAACGCGGCACGTACAGTGTACGTGGCAAGTCATATAGCCACTTTGTGACGGGACGTACACTGTACGTCTCCCGTCACGAAGGGGTTAATTGCCAACAGAGGCAATGTCGTTCCAGGGGGGAAGGTGGGGGGTGCTGTCAGGGAATGGTTACTGGGGGGTGGCGTGCGTGGCTCATTTGTTGTTCAAAGGGGGCAGTGGCAGAAGCTGGACTATGCTGTCAGCAGCTCTGTCCGGTGTACTGCCCTGCTTACTGATGTCACAGGTTGCCAGTAGCTATCACCTTATTTTTAACTATGCAAATGAGAGCATGTAATAAATATAAAATAGGTGCTATCCTAATTTGGCTGCAAAAGTGGAAATACACTTTAAAAGCTATACATACTCCTAAACAAAGTCACTCAGCCATGTTTTGTAAGTATACCTTTAAATAATCAAAGAATGTAACAACACATTTCAGTCAAAAAACCTACATAACCAAAATGTCTGCTACTAATAAGAGTAAATGCCATAGTTATGCTTTAAAAGTGTTTTCCCAAACACGAAACAGAACACACAACACAAGCCCTAAGAAACATATACCTATCATCTAAATTTGTAATATCTCATAAAACACTACTCGCCAAAAGGTAATCAGTGAATTATGGAAATTAAGCAGATTTTTAAGTATCCTGGTTGTCTGTTCTAATTAAAATTTAAATTGAAAACTGGGTTCTAATGAAGAGAAGCTTAGTTTTGGGTCTAATGGGAACAACCTGGAGATAACTTGAAAACTAGTCACAGAAGGACAGCAAATTCACATGGGTATGAGTAACAGCAGATGTACAGTTGTTCCAATATTTGAACTGACGTAGAATGTTTCCTGGAAAATATTTGATATTTCCAAAGCCTTTATGAATAAACAATTGTGTGAAGGCAGTGCTTTGTGTGAATAACCATAAGTGTGAATTTGCACAATTTACCTACATGACACTGATGCCTTTTTTAAATGGATAGCCATCCTGCCTGAAATGAGGCAAATATGCTCCTTACAAAGCTGCTGTTATGCCATCCTCCATACCCATTCAAGGCAGCAAAACTGAACCAGTTCAGCTGCAGAATTATGACACATTCTCTTCGAGGAACCTTGGAAAGCAAATAACTTTATACAGTATGTAATGTTATTTATACAGTTTCTACCTTCGATTACATGCTTTTGGCACATTGGTCTACAGCTGATAAATTGAAAAAAAAATGTTTCAGGACACACTTTTTATCACACAGTTTATCCATTTTTTGTAAATTTTCAGTCACATTTGAAAGCCTGAAAA